TAGCAACAGACATATTCTCTATTAGCTATTTAAATAAGAATATAAGTCTTTCTAGACTCTGATTTTTACCGGAGAGTAATTTTCATTGTTGTTTCTAGATATGTTGACTCTTCTTTAGTCATTAAAAGACTCGTTTTTTTACGTTCAATGTAACATAATTTCATTTTTTTTTGACAGTAGCTTGTTTCTCTCGAAATATTGTAAACATGTACTGAACTAATAATCTTTTTTTTCTCTACAATCAACGTTGTCTTTTTTACCATCAAGACATTCTTGTTTATATTTAAGATAAACTTGTTGAGTAAAACTATTTTGTTGTAAAAGTGTATGAGATGGATGTTGAAATTGAGGAATTTCCACCAGTATTGAACCATAAATATCATATGAATTTGAATTATTTCCATGCCAATAATGTGAATCATTGTATGATGATGAATATTGATCATAGAAATCTTGTTGTCGAGTTATAAATAAGTAAAACTCATTTTATACTAATAATAATTGACATTCAATGGTTTGTATTAGGAACAAAAAATATAAGGAAATTCGTCAAAAAAAAACAAAGCAACACAAGTTGGTGGGTGTGTCTATGTTCTTCATTCACACCCACCTACACACCCACACCCACACCCTATTAGTGATTTAATTTCAACAGAAATATCCATTCGATGGGATAGAAATCGAATTTTATGAAAACTTTTTAATTTTCTGTACAGTTATTTGACTTTGTCTTCACGAGTTTTCATATAATGACAGTACAGTCGTATTCAACAGACTTGTTGATCTTGTGTTTCCAAGAAAATGAATATGTTCATTTGAATAATGCACTCTAATCAATTTTCAAAAGTCGTACTAAAAAATAATTCTATGATTTATGATTCACATTAATTGCTTTTGTTTTTTCGATGATGATGATGATGAATAGAAATTTCTTCTGATCCAAAAAAAAAGAAAGAAAAGAATACGTATTGTCCATGAAGGACTGTATATGAACAAAGGACAAGTATTCACATCCATGCACATGAAAAACAATGAAATTAATTCGTGTCCCATCATTTCAATTAATCATGTGATGATTAATCAAATCAATTATATTC